CTTTAAATATTTGAACAGAACTATCACATTGCCCATGTTGTTACTGAGATATGATTACCTGGAATAGATGGCTTTGTTTCTTTTTCTAGACCTATAACATCTTGGTTGCCAAACACTGGATACCATATAATTTATTAAAAGTCAAAAACCAAGCAAGTTGCCTTTCAGTCAGTCCTGACTTATGGTGACCCCACGTGGGTCAGAGTAGGACTGTACTCCATAGGGTTTTCAAAGGCTGATTTATCAGAAGTAGATGGCCAGTTTCTCCCAAGGTGCCTCTGGATTGACTTGATATTAAAACCAAACCAAACCCACCCCACTGCCATTGAGTCAATTCTGACTCACGTCAACCTCCATTGGGTTTCCAAGGCAGTAAATCTTCACAAAGTGAATTGCCCCGTCTTGCTTCCATGGAGTAGCTGGTGAATTTGAACCATCTGGTTAGCAGTCAGATGCTTTAGACACTGTGCTGCCAGAGCTCTTTATCCTTGATACTAGTATCCTTTAAAAGTGTAACTGCCTAGAACTAAATATAGAACTTCAACATAGTGTATTAGTGCAGAGTAAAATGGGACTGATAGGTAGGCTCATTGCTCTGGACATCTGCTTTTAGCAAGAGTTTAGGATTATTTTACCTTTTTTTGTGTCCCTGTTATTTTGACTAAAATCCCCACATCTTTTATATTTTAGCTATTATAAGCACATCATCCTGTTGTGTTTTTGTACAGTTGTCTGTGAAAATATTCAGGATTTCACTTTTAGTAATTAAATATAATTTATTTGTTGTTGTCAGGTGCCATGGAGTCATCTCTGACTCATAGCAACCTTGCGTATAACAGAAAGAAACACTGCCTGGTCCTGTGCCAGCCTCACGATCCTTGCCATACCTGAGCCCATCATCGCAGCCACTGTGTCAATCCATCTTGTTGAGGGCTTTCCCCTTTTTCATTGACCCTCCTCTTTACCAAGCATGATATCCTTCTCCAGAGAATGGTCTCTTCTGACAACATGAACAAAGTAGGTGAGACAAAGTCTGTCCATTCTTGCTTCCATGGAGCATTCCAGCTGCATTTATTCCAGGAAAGATTTGTTAATTCTTTTAGCAGTCTATGGTACTTTCAGTAGTCTTCGCCAACACCACAACTCAAGAGCATAAACTCTTCTTTGGTCTTCCTTATTCATTGTCTAGCTCTCATATGTGTATGAGGCGATTGAATATAACATGGCTTGGGTTAGGCATACCTTAGTCTTCAAGGAGACATCTTTGCTCTTCAGCACCTGGAAGAGGTCTTTTGCAGCAGGTTTGCCCAGTGCAGTACATCATCTGATGTCTTGACTGCTGCTTCTGTTGGTGTTGATTGTAGAACAAGTAATATGAAGTCTTTGTTAACTTCAGTTTTTTTTCCATTAATCATGATGCTGCTTATTGGTCCCGTTGTGAAGATTTTTATTTTCTTTATATTGAGGTGTAATCCATACTGCAGACTGTAGTCTTCAGTCTTCATCAGTAAGTGCTTCAGGTCATAATCACTTAAAGCAAGCAAAGTTCTGTTGTCTGCATATCACAGGTTGTTAATGAGTCTTCCTCCAGTCCTGATGCCACGTTCTTCATATAGTCCAGCTTCTTGGATTATTTGCTCAGCATACAGATTGAATAGGTATGGTGAAAGGATACAACCCTGACACACTCCCTGATTTTAAACCATGCGGTATCCCCTTGTTCTGTTTGAACAACAGCCTCCTGGTCTATGTACAGGTTCCTCATGAGCACAATTAAGTGTTCTGGAATTCCCATTCTTCTCAATGTTATCCATAATTTATTATGACCCACACAATCAAATGCTTTTGCATAGTCAATAAAACACAAGTAAACCTCTCTGGTATTCTTTGCTTTGAGCCAAGATCCATCTGACATCAACAGTAATATCCATCATTCCATGCCCTCTTCTGAATCTAGCTTGCATTTCTGGAAGTTTCCTGTCAATATACTGCTGCAACTGTTTTTGAATTATCTTCAGCAAGATTTTACTTGCATGTGATATTAATGATATTGTTCGATAATTTCCACATTCTGTGGGATCACCTTTCTTTGGGATGGGTACAAATATGGATCTCTTCCAGTCAGTTGGCCAGGTAGCTGTTGTCTAAATCTCTTGGCGTAGCTGAGTGAGTGCCTCCAGCACGGTATCCTTTTGTTGATACCATGGTATCAGTAGGTATTCCATCGTTCCTGGAGCCTTGTTTTTCGCCAATTCCTTCAGTGCAGCTTCAACTTCTTCAATACCATTGGTTCTTGATCATATGCTACCTCCTGAAATAGAAGAACATTGGCCAATTCTTTTTGGTACACTGACTCTGTATTCCTTCCATCTTCTTTTGATGTTTCCTGTATTATTCAATATTTTGTCCATAGGATCTTTTGAATTGCAGCTCACGGCTTAAATTTTTTCTTCAATTCTTTCAGCTTGAGAAGTACCAAGCATGTTCTTCCTTTTTGGTTTTCTAACTCCAGGTCTTTGCACATTTCATTATAATAACTGACTTTGTCTTCTCAAGCTGCTCTTTATAATCTTCTGTTCAGCTTCTTTATCTTGTCATTTCTTCCATTTGCTTTAGCTACTCTCCATTCAAGGGCAAGTTTCAGAGTCTCTTCTGACATCCATTTTGGTCTTTTCTTTGTTTCCTGTCCTTTTGATGACCTTTTACTTCCTTCATGGGTGATGTCTTGATGTCATCCCACAGTTCCTCTGGTTTTCGGTCATCGGTGTTCATTGCATCAAATCTGTTCTTTAGACAGTCTCTAAATTCAGTAGGGATATAATCAAGGACGTTTTGGCTCTTGTGGACTTGTTTTAATTGTCTTCAGCTTCAACTTGAACTTGCATATGAGCAGTTGATGGTCTCTTCTATAGTTAGCTCCTGGCCTTGTTTTGGCTGAAGGTATCAAGCTTCCCCATGGCTTCTTGCCACAGATGTAGTTATTCTGATTTCTGTGTACTCCATATGGCGAGGTCCACATGTATAGCCACTGTTTGTGTTGTTGAAAAAAGGTATTTGCAATAAATAAGTCATTGGTCTTGCAAAATTTTATCATGCGATCTCCAGCATTATTTCTTTCACCAAGGCCATATTTTCCAACTACCCGTGATTCTTCTTTGTTTCCAACTTTTGTGTTCTAATCACCAGTGTTAAGCAACACATCTTGATTTCATGTTTGGTCAATTTCAGACTGCAGAAGTTGGTAAAAAATCTTCAGTTTCTTCATCTTTGGCTTTGGTGGTTGATGTGTGAATTTGAATAATAGTCGTATTAACTGGTCTTCCTTATAGGCATTTGGGTATTATCCTATCACTGACAGCATTGTGCTTCAGAAAAGATCTCGATACATTGTGATGATGAATCCCACGCCATTCCTCTTCAATTTGTCATTCCCGACATAGCAGATTGTATGATTGTCCAATTCAAAATGGCCAAAGCCAGTCCATTTCAGCTCACTAATGCCTAGGATATCGATCTTTATGCACCCCATTTCATTTTTTGACAACTTCCAATTTTCCTAGATTCATACTTCATACATTCCATGTTCCAGTTATTAATGGATGTTTGCAGCTGTTTCTTCTCATCTTGAGGCATGCCACATCAGCAGATGGGGGTCCTGAAAACTTTATCTGCATTTGTTTAGTTTCACTAAATCAGTATCTATTTCAGTCTTAATCTGTTCCTCAGTGGCTATTACTCATTTCTTCCAGTTTCGGTCATCCAGAGATTGGGCATGCAGTCTTCAGGTCATCAATAAAAATATTAAGCAATCATCTTGGTGCCATTCTTCTTCTTCCTCTGCCACCTTCTTTAATCATGCTGGCCTTTTTTTAATCTTTCTTTTCAACTTTTACCTCAAGCCACCACATTCCTTCCTATCTTAGGCACCTTCTGTAACCTCTGCGTAGGATGTCTTCCCCATGACATTCCCCACTCCTCTTCTCTGTGTAACTGCCTGTCCTAATCTCAAATCAGATATTTCACCAGCTTCTTCCCTGACACCAGCTAACTCTTGTTCCCCTTTTATAAGCTTTCACAGCATCCTGTACTTGTTTGGCTTAGCACTTCTCATTGTGTAAGTATATGTTTATGTGTGATTACTCTCTCATCCCCACTGTATTGGATGCTCCCTGGGGGCAAAAACTGTTTCTCAGGCTCGGTATTGTATCCCCAGAACATAGCCCAGCACCAGGAGCATGGTACTTGTTTAATTTAATTTTTAAAAAGTAACAGTGGCTCTAGGCCTATAGCAGTCTACAACCTTTGGCAGTTTTCTCAAGTTTGGATTAGAACAAGAAAAATAAGGACAGTGTATGATGTAAGGTGCATTGGTTTGAGATTACTGCCCTTGTTGGAAAGGCCATTTTTCTAGCATTATATCTTATATTTTAGGTTGTAAATGGCTCTTTTTAAAATGAAATAGATTTTGTAAAATTGGGGGTGGGGGAAGATTTTGTTTTGTGTATTTGTTTGTTTTTGGAAACCATCCTTACTTAGAATAAAAAGAAAAGTGGCAGAGTTTGGTTTGGTTCTTGGAGGGTCATTTTAGTAAAAGATCATAAATGGAAAGCATTTAGTTTGGAGCTTGACATGTGATAAGCAGTCAGGAAATGTTCTTAGGAAAATTATGTAAGGTGGACAAGCTTCCTATTAATGTAATCACTTAAATGCTTGTTTTGTAGTGGTTTTGACATGGCAAAATTAAAGGAATTAGAGGTTCGTTACCCTACTAATAACATAAAATGAATCTGTTTTCTGATTTAGCTGTGTGAATGTGAAAAAAACAGAAATATAAACCTTTTAAAATAAAGTACCTTAAGTAAATTTTCACCTCAGGTTCATGTAAGTCTGTTGAACTTAAAGGTATTCCCAGTTTATTTTTTTTTAAGAGCTGATGTATATTATATATTGGTTTTATATTATGTATAAAAGTAACTTTTATATATATTTGACAGAAACTATGTGAATGAAGCAACATCTTTTCTGGATTTTAAAAGACATCACTTCATCATGGGACAGCAAATTTCAGAACAAACGCAACTGGTTATTAACAAGTTACCAGAAAAAGTAGCAAAACATGTCATATTGGTTCGAGAAAGTGGCTCCTTAACTTATGAAGAATTTCTTGGCAGAGTAGCTGAACTTAATGATGTGTAAGGCTTTGTTCTTTTTCAATTTATATTGTTCCTCTTGACATATGCCCCATATGTTATGGCTGTATAAAAGGTAGTCAGAGATATCAATTGGTAAGACTTACCTTAATGATAAGCTTTACTCCTTTAATTTCAACCATTTTTTAGCAGCAGTTAGCAAACATTTATTGAGTATTTATTATGAGCCAGAATTGACTTGATGGCAGTGAGTTTGGTTTTTTGTTTTTTTATTAGTAAACTTTCTATGTAGCTGTTTTAAAATATGCATTGGAAACAAGAGATTAAAGGAAATTAAAATTGAATTTGGAAGACAGAGGGCAAACATATTGAAGCAATTCTATAATATATAATGCAACATCCCAGTAGTTGTACCCTGCTGTTGTTATTGGCAGTCGTTGAATTGGGGCCCAATTCATGGAAACCCCAGGCACAACTGAACAAAAAGCTGCCCAGTCCTACACCATCCCCATGATAGGTTTAAGATCAGACTATTGTGATCCGTAGGTTGTACAGTAATATACTGTAAATTGACTCCTGTCTGAAAGCACAAGGGAATATGCCAATTCGCAATTCCAGAGAAAAGCTCCCGGGATAGTGGGCGGCAACACTAAGAAGGTTTCTATATATCAACCAATTCAGCTGGTTAAAAAAAAAAATCCTGTGTGTTTGCTTACTGAGCCATTATTTTTTCAGAACAATGCATACATAGTAATAGTTCATATTTAATCACTGAGGAATGAGATATTTCATTTATTTATATTTTGTAATTAGCTTATATATTTTAAATCCCTACTTAATTATTTGTTTGGTAAGGTGGAGGGTCAACGAAAGAGAGGAAGCCCCTCAATGAGATGGATTGACACAGTGGCTCCGGCGATGGGCTCAAGTATAGCAAGGATTGTGGAACTGGTGCAGGACTAGGCAGTGTTTCGTTCTGCTGTGCGTAGGATTGCTATGAGTCAGAGACAACTCGATGGCACCTAACAACAACAACACCACTTAATTATTTTGAATAAATTTCTATCTAAAATGGAATATAAATTTCTCTGCTACCTTAAATTGCAGTCATAACAGAATTTAACCTTTTCTTTGTGAATTCAGTCTTTATTATCAATTTTTACACTGTTGTGTATAGAAGCTATTAAAATACACTGGACTCTGTCCGTAAATGGCCCCAGACTGCTGTGCTTTTAAAATATTGCTTATTTGTTTGTTTTCTCCCCTAGTGACAGGTTGGCAAATGTTACTTCTTTCTATTAAGCCACCTACGTACACCTATCTCTCTCCATTTATATATATGTGTGTGTATATATATACATATATATATATGTGTATATATATATATATATGTATATATATATATATATGTATAATTTTTAGCTATTTTCTGTCTCCCTGGATATATAATTATAACTTCTATAACCCTGACACCAGCCACTCCTCAGAAGGAAGTTTGGGCAGTCTACTTCTGTAGTGATACTGCCTTGGAAACCCAAGGAGGGGTCGCTGTGAGTCAGGTCCAACTTGACGGCAGTGAGTTTTTAGTTTTTCTTATAACCCTGAAGGTATAATTATATCTCATTTAGAGTTGCCTCTTAAATTAAATCTTAAATGTTCTCTCTTTAGTCTGTTCAATTTAGGTAACGTTCACTGAGCAAATACTATAAACAAGGCACTGATGTCAAAAATGATAACCCAAGTAGCCATGATAGCACAAACAGTTAAGCAGTTAACTGCTAACAAAAAGATTGGCACTTCAGACACACTGAGATCTAGTGTTCTTAAAAGAACAGGCCTACTTTGGTTCCTAAAACCCATTCCCATGGATCAGAGTTGGGAATTTCACAAGCGTGATGCTGTCTGAGGACTGTAAGGTTGAACCTATACAGAGGGAACATGGCTTGGTAGCCAGAAAACAGAACTAGACACTGGCACAGCTGAATTATTTTCACTGGCAGACTTTTTTACCTGGAATTAGTTGTTAGTTTTTGATGGCTTCAATTTATTTACCTTTAAGTCACTTAGTTGAGTGTGATACCCTTTGGTGCTCAGATATATTAAGGAATAATGATAAAAGGGAGCTGTAGCATCTCAGTATGTCTTTGAACTGATTTAAGTTAATGCTATATTTTTACTTTAGGGTCTTGTGGCTCTTTAAATTAAAATTACTCTGCTAGGGTAGGGCTCACTCATTGCCGACAAGTTGGATCCAACTCAAAGCGACCCCTCCTTGGGTTTCCGAGGCGGTATCACTACGGAAGTAGATAGCCTGGTCTTCCTTCCAAGGAGTGACTGGTGGGTTTGAACCGCCAGTCTTCTGGTTAGCAGTCAGATGCCTTAAACAGAGCTATATTCAAAGTATCTTAAAATTATTTTATTTCACTTGATACAATCCTAAATTATCTATAAAACAAGACATTTTTCAAAGAATCATATTTGTGTTTTGCTTAAATAAGTACTTAACCAAGAGCAAAACTTCTTCACATTTTATGTACAATTGAGGCAATTGTCAAAATTTGGTTAAGTAAAACCAAATAAGCTCTTTTTTAAGTACTTGCTTTCTTGACTTCGTTTTTCCTAACTGTCTTTGTTAGAAATGTAAAGACCATTGAGATACAGATATGACAAAAAAGGATTTATAAATGTTACACTATACTTTTGACTTTAAAATCCTTGTATGTAAATTAAGTTGTATGTTTTTATAAGTTCAATACATTCTTTATTCACTTTTTATTTTTATGGTCCACCTTACCCAACACTTCTCCTCCCATCATTCTTAATGTCTGAAATTTCATCAGCATCAATCTGTTTTTTTTATTTTTAATACTGTGTTTTAGGTGAGCACATTAGGTTCCCATTTAACAATTTATATATATATTGTTCCATGATATTGGGTACATTTTTTACAATGTGTCAACATTCTCACTATTTCCATTCTGTTTATTCTATTTTCATTAATCTGGCTTCCCTGCCTCTCCTTACCTTCTCATCTTTGCTTTATGGTAAATGATGACTGTTTGGTCTCATATAGTTGATTATTTAAGAGAACACAGTACTCATGGGTGATATTGCTTATTTTATAAGACAGTCTATTATATGGATCCACCACCTTTCTGTTAGTTTGTTGGACTTTGGTGGCTTGTTGCTATGATCCTGGAAACTGTGCCACTGGTATTTCAAATATAACACTTTCTTTAAAGTGTTAAAAAGGAAAGATGTCACTTTGAAAACTAAGGTGTGTGCCTGACCCAAGCCATCATATTTTCAGCTGCCTCATTTGCATGTAAAATTATTCCAGTAAATAAGGATGATTGAAGAAGAATTGATGCATTTGAATTGTGGAGTTGGTAAAGTGTATTGAATGTACCATGGACTGCCAGAAGAACAAATAAATCTCTCTCAGAAGTACAGTTGGAATGCTCCTTAGAAGCAAGGATGATGAGATTTTATCTCCCATATTTTGGACGTGTTACCGGGAGGGTCCAGTTCCTAAAGAAAGACATCATGCTTGGAAAATAAAGGGTCAAGAGAAGAGAGGAAGACCCTCAGCAAGATAGATTGACACAGTGGTTACAGCGGTAGGCTCAGACATAGCAGCGATGGTGAGGATGGTGCGGGCCTGGGCAGTGGTTTCATTCTGTTGTGCATAGGTTTCCTGTGAGTCAGAATCAACTGAATAGCACCTAACAGCAACAACATCATTTGGATAAAAGCTGACCATCAGGCATGGTGTCAGTTCCACGTTCAGAGGATATCATAGGGCTGTTGACTTGCGGGTTCCTCTAGTCTCTGGTGGTCGAGTATCTTTATTTGTATTTCAAGAATGTAATTATTACAATGATTATCATTGGTATTTTTGTGTTTTTCAAATTTCCTTCTCTGTTTAAAGTGTAAATTAAATCTTGTTTCATAGCTCCATTGTTTTAAATGACTTTTTTTGTGAAATTTGTAATACATTTGTCTCTTCTCAGAACTGCTAAAGTAGCTGCTGGCCAGGAAAAACATCTTCTCTTTGAAGTACAACCTGGGTCTGATTCCTCTGCCTTGTGGAAAGTGGTAGTACGCGTGGTGTGTACCAAGGTGAGACTGAAAAACTTCTAGTTCCGAACTAAAATTTTGGTGACTAGAACTACATTTAATGGTGTAATATAGTGGAACTAAATGTTAATGTTGATATTTTGGGGGGCTTATCAAATAGTTTTGATAATGCTATTTTGCCTTCCAGCTAACTGTTTAGATCTAATTGCTATATAGCATGTTGTTATTAGGTTCCATTGAGTGAGTTTTGACTCATAGCGACCCATTGTATAACAGAGTGGAACACTGCCAAGTCCCATGCCATCCTCACAATCTTTGCTATGCTTGAGCCCATTGTTGCAGCCACTGTGTCAATCCATCTCATTGAAGATCTTCCCCTTTTTTCTTGACACTGTACTTTACCAACATGATATCCTTCTCTAGGGACTGGTCCCTTCTGATTAATGTGACTAAAGTACAAAAGATGAAGTCTGGCCATTCCCACTTCAAGGAGCATTCCAGCTGCACTTCTTCCAAGACAGATTTGTTTGCTCTTCTGGCAGTCTATGATATATTTAGTATTCTTTGTGAACACCATAACTCAAGTGCATCAATTCTTGTGTGGTCCCCTTTATTCATTATCCAGCTCTCATATGCATATGAAGCTACTGAAAATACCATGGCTTGCATCAGGCACACCTTAGTCCTCAAAGTGACATCTTTGGTTTTTAACACTTTAAAGAGGTCTTTTGCAGCAGGTTCGCCCAGTGCTATATATCGTTTGATTACTTAACTGTTACATCCATGGGTGTTGATTGTGGATCCAAGTAAAATGAAATCTTTGACGGATTCAATCTTTTCTCCATTTGTCATGATGTGACTTATTAGTCCAGTTGTGAGGATTTTTGTTTTTTGTTTTATGTTGAGGTGTAGTCCATACTGAAGGCTGTAGTCTTTGATCTTCATCACTGAGTGCTTCAAGTCTTCTTCATCTTCAGCATGCAATGTTTTATCACCTGCATATCATACTTGTTAATGAGTTCTGTCCAATTCTGATGCCATATTCTCCTTCATATAGTCCAGCTCCTTGAATTATTTGGCCAGCATACAGATTGAAAAAGTGTGGTGAAAAAATAAAAGCCTGTTGCATACTTTTCCTGATTTTGAACCATATAGTATCCCCTTAAGGAGCTCTGGTAACATAGTGCCTAAGGCATTTGACTGCTAACCAGAAGGTTGGAGGTTCAAATCCACCAGGCACTCCGTGGAAGGAATACTGGGCAGTCTACTTCTGTAAGGATTTACTGCCTCAGAAACCCAGTGAGGGTTGCTATGAGTCAGAATTGACTCAATGGCAGTGAGTTTGGTTATGTTTCTTTTTTTAAGTATCCCCTTGTTCTGTTTAAGTGACTGCCTCTTGGTCAATGTACAGATTCCACATGGGCACAATTAGGTGTTCTGGAGAATTCCCCTTGTTTGCAGCGTTACCATGTTGTTCTAGTTGTTGTTACGTGCCCTCAAGTTGCACCCGACTCATAGTGACCCCTCCTTGAGTTTCCGAGGCAGTATCACTACGGAAGTAGATTGCCCAACCTTCCTTCCGAGGAGTGGCTGGTGGGTTTGAACTGCCAGCCTTCTGGTTAGCAGTCATAATTTGTTATAATCCACACAGCCAGATGGCTTTGCATAGTCAGTAAAACACAGGTATGCATCATCTGATAATCTTTGCTTTCAGCCAAGATCCATCTGACATCAACAGTGATATTCCTCATTCCATGTCATCTTCTGAATACAGCTTGAATTTCTAACGGTTCCCTGTCTATGTCCTGCTGCAACTATTTTTTAATTATTTTCAGCAAAATTTTACTTGCATATGATATTAATGATATTGTTCGATAATTTCTGTATTCTGTTGGATCACCTTTCTTTGGAAGGGGCAAAATATAGATCTCTTCCAGTCAGTTGATGGTAACTATCTTTCAAATTTGTTGACATAAATGAGCAAGCGCTTCCAGCATTTCATCTGTTTGCTGATTTCAGTGGTATTCTGTCAATTCCTGGAGTCTTGTTTTTTTACCAATTCCTTCAGTGCAACTTGGGCTTCTTCCTTTTTTTTTAAAGTATTTATGATGAATAAGTCATTAATTTTGCAAAATTCTGTCACACAATCTCTGGCTCATTTCTGTCACCAAAGCCATATTTTCTAACTACCAATACTTCTTTTTTGTTTCCATCTTTCATATTCCACTCCTCAGTAATTGTCAATGCATCTTGATTGCATGTTTGGTCAGTATCAAGCCATAGATTTTTATAATCAGAGAAGGTGGTAGCAACATCTCATCTTTACCTTCTACCTCTCTTCTGAAGTTTTAGCTAACTGGCAGCCAGCAGAGTCCTAAAAAAGGTCATTTCCTTTTTCATCTGTAAGATGACTCCTTAAAAGTTAAAGTTATTTCAAGAAATCATTTAAGTACACTGCGTTTCATTCATTTAAAAAAAAAAAATCCATGAGAAAATCTTTTTAAGCAGAGGAACTAGATGGTGCCTGGCTACCACTGCCAACCGCTCTAAGAGGAATCAAAATTAGAGATCCTGGATAGAGTGGGAGAAAAATGTGGAATAAAACTCAAAATCATAAAAAAAAAAAGACCAGGCTTATTAGTCTGATTGAGATTGGTGGAAACCCCAAGACTATGGCCCTTTGCTACCTTCAGGCCTAGAACTGAACTCACTCCCATGAGTCAACTTTGAGCCAAATAATAGACAGACTTATGAGGTGAACAATAAGCTAGAGAAGCAAGCACTCAGTAAGCAATCAACTGTAATAGATCAAAAGGGTAGAATTTGCCCAGGGATACAACTCAGAAGGTGGGAATGGATAGGAAAGGACAAAAGGAAATGGTAAGCACAGGAAGGAATGGCTGTTACATTGTGGGGATTAGTCAATGTCATGAGACAAAATGTGTGTAAACTGTTAAATGGAAGGCTAATTTACTCTAAATTTTCACCAAAATCACAATAAAAAGTTTAAAAAATATTTTTTATTGAAGAAAGTCTTTTTAATGATTTTTATTTATAGAATGGACTTTCCACTATCAGTGTGCTTTAAGTATCTCTTAGTTCATCTTTAAATTTTAGATAATAAAAATATCAACTGTGCTGAAAATATAATGACAGCTGTCATAGAGTATTTGAAAGTCTCATCTACCAGTAGATGGATTAGAATACATGGTTCTTAACCTTTTTGAAACCATAGACATTTTGGTGAAAATAAATAAGCAAATTTTATTAGGTTTCCTGTCCAAATCCCTATCCTAAAAACAAACAAGCAAACAAACAAACACTCATCCGTATGCATATAAATGATAGATTGGGCATTCATGTATGCGCTAAAGTCCATTTCTGACCAACTTATAAAGAACCCCCAGGTTAGGAGATATTTCCTTTGAATTATGGATCTTGGAGGTTACCCAAATAATGTGTCATATTTCCCCATCGTGTTAGTCTCAATGTGTTTTCAGTGTAGTAGGATCAATTATGGATAGTTAATCATATTAGAAGTTTCAATCACTTTAAGTAGTAACAGAACTTTAAAGACGATTGGAGCAAGGACACAGATGTTAATTCCAGACATGTAAAAATGTTAAAGAACAATATATAATAGCTGCCAGAGAACCATCATTCAAAATTTTTTGTGTTGTTTTTTGTCACGCTATAGCTAAGGTACTGGTGAGTACCAGTGTAACTTCTTATAGTGTATGTGTTACAAGTCACAGTAACTGAATAGTATTGAAATACTTGATCTAGGATCAAGTTTTAATTTATTTATATTTCAGTTCTTGAGCCTAGAAATTGTATACAAACCATGTGTTTTTGTCATTTTCTGGTTTTTGTGGTTGGTTGTTATGGCACCAGAGTTCCTATTGGGTTCATACTACATTTATATTAAACTCTAGAGACTTTATGCGATGTTTTCAGTACACACATTTAGCCATCTGATTTTGTTGATCTTACTTTTACTACATTTCACTCTCAGTTTATTCAAGCAAATGAGCATATAAGGTATGCCAGTGCGGTGAATTACTTGATGTGGCCCTTCTAGCCATTGTCCTCCATTCTGTGATGTGTTGTGAATCCTATTATCCATGCCTGTTTGGGGTGGTGTGGTAGTTAAGGTCAGGTATCAACTTGGCTGGGCAGCTGGTAGTAGTCATTCCCTATAATGACTGGCAATCGACTCTTGTGATGGGTTGTAGGTTATTTCTGTTGGGGCAGCACAAGTGGAATTATCTTGAGTCCTGCCTTGCTGGAGGGTATAATTCAAATCACCACCTTTAGCTTCCTTTGAGGGTATACCTATGAATCTCCTGGAAAGATTCGCCCTCCTCTTGCTCCGGTTTTGTGTCTTGGCTTGTCCTCATCTCACCCCTGGATTTGGGACAGCAGCCATCATCTGATCTGCTGATCGAGGTTCATCAAACCGAGAATTGGGGGTATCCTCCAGACCTACTCACGGACCTCGGACTTGCCAGCCTGTCATCCTCCACCACTACTACGTGAGACGAACCCTTGGGTGTCTGTGAGTTCTGTGAGGCATTACAGCAAAATACAGAAGCCTAAGACAGGGAAATTACTGGGAGGAGGAGGAGGAGTTAATGTCTGAAATGATGGAGTGGTACGGTAGTTTGGACATTTGGGACATCTTTAACCTCCACCTCATGGGACCGGCCTTGTGCTGATCTTTCTGAGAGAAATTGTTCAAGCAGCCAGGCAATAGGAATTTGATAAATAAGATAAATTCCATGTCCTCAAGAAGACTATAACTGTAGTTCAAGCCCTTCTTTCTCTGGCCCAGATTACCTTAGATCCTAAATTAATCACATCTTAAGCATTTTCACCTAATTCTAATTTATGCAGCTGTGAGGTTAATCTTTTCAAGCACAATTTACCATTCGCCCATCTCTGCTTAAAATTCCTCATTGTCTGAAATATAGTTCCAACTCTTTAATCTGACATTCAAGGTGCTCTACAGTGTGGCTGCAACCTATCTCTTCTGCTTTATT